GGAGGAAGTAGCGACTAGCATAAACCAACATGCTAGGCTACAATGAGAAGGAAGGAAAACTGAGTTTTTTTTATCGAACTTTTATCGACCCTCTTTTTTTCTATTGCGCTACACGTCTATCGATCGATATATATCGTTATTGAATTATCGCCCAGCCCTATGTCAATCTATTTTAACTTAGTGAACTGTTAAAAAATAACTGATATTTTATCGTACATCACTAATGGTGAGGCTGTACAAGATGGCGCTGACAACGTAGGAGGTTGAGGATGCTAAATAAGGTGTGTCACAGAGATTTCAACAAAAGTGATGGAGAAAACATGATGCTAACATCATTATGTTTCCCCTTAAAGATTATCAGAACAATGTTCAGTTATTTTTGGTCTCCTCTACATGTTTAGAGATTAGAGGTCATATTTTGGTTATCTGTTTTTCAATTCTAAACATGCAAACTTTTAGATTCTGTGTGGAGGTGAGAACTTTACACAAAAGCAAATTCAAATTTTCACATTTTTACTTGAAAATGATTTTTTTTTTCACTTCACAATTTTAGTTCTGTTGAATAGGCCTGTTGCAGCAAATCTAAAATCTCCTCCTGGAGTCACCTCTTAGCATGCTCTGCAGCATGAGTCACTGTAATGTATAAATCATTAAAACAAACTTTTATAAACATTATAAATAATATGAATCCATCAGACTGATTCGGCTCCGTAGGCATATGCATTATCTCTGATAATGTGAGGCACCTTCCTTCTGTGAAAAGTGTTGAAATTCACAGCATTAAACATTACGAAACACATTTCATAGCAAAGAGACCATCTGGAGTTTGGGAGACTGATTAGAGTAAAACAAATGTAAAAGCAAAAAAAAGAAAGAAGGTTTTACCGGTAAATCAGACAGACATAGACTAAACATCTTGGGATAACAACCTAAGGGTGAATAACAGAGGTTCTGCATGACTAAAGGCTTTGTTTTGATTTGGACACGTGATGCAGTAGAGTTTAACTTCCTTAATGACTTTTCAATTCCATGCATAGAGGGTTTGAAAAATTACTTCTACATCTAATGCAAACATTCTTCAAACAAGAGAAGGTTTCATTAAAGAGGGTATAATTTGACATTACAATCCAAGTTTCTCTTTTTTTATATCAGGGTGGATGTTTTGTTCACACAAACAAGGAATAAAAATTATCATTTAGACTCTGATAAGAGTAGATTAGAAAAGAAATAGGAATATAAAACTGTGATAAATAAAGCCAGTGTATATGGAAAACATTCTCATATGCAAAAGAGCACACAATGTGCTAAAATGTGAGGTTTCTTGCAGGTGTAACTTCTCACATTAAGACATCATGCAGCAATAACATAAGTGAAGAGATGGGGGGCAATGAGTCCAGATTAACAGCATCATTTTAAGTGAGGTGAAGGTTAATGTACCTAAACACATGATAATCTCTTCAACCCAGCTCTAATTTAGCTCTTATATTTTACCCTTTTCATTGATTCATTGTTACACATTCCAAGTCCAAATGATGACAAATCTGTCCTATTTCCTTTCTTTCTTTCATCTTATGAACAATGATCATGGGAATAATAAATGTTGTTGTTCAGACGTAAAACGCAGTAAACTCAAGCCTCAAATCAACACTTATAAACCATGCCTATAAACTGGTTTGAACAGCTCCTGTGGGAGCTTCTCTTTAAAAAGACAGGAATGAAGACGGGAATGTCTTCCAACTGTACTTTGTCATGCGCTGAGAATTTATTGGACGTTCTTAACAGTTAGTCTGACCTTTGAAGTGCTCTCTGGATGTGTATACAGGAAGCCCATGTTCAGAGAAACAGTGATACGGAGTGAGGAAGTTCTACATTCCACATCTGAAGACGCAAAAGTCTTATGATGAGGTCATCAGTCCACCTATCTCTTCCTTCCTTCGTATTCCTGACTACTGCCCAGTATTGCCCAGAAACAAAAGAAAATATTTTCAGTAACAATGGGCAAGAAGGAGGTTTTATTGTTTATTGCAAGAGTTTGGGTTTGATGTATGAAAACAAAAAAAACAGCTTCAGCATCCTGCTCTACTTGAGACGGGTAAAAAAATTATTCAGTCTTTTTATTTTTCCAGTTTTATGCCACTTGTTTCCTCTTTACTAGCTTTTTGGCCCCAACGATCTCTCTGTTGTTTTTCTAATGTGTCTTGTTGAAAAGTTTCCATTAGGGAGAGTTATGCAGTTATGCTCTTCACTGGAGGTTTAAAACTGATCCACTGCAGATGTCTGGATTGGCTACGATTTGCTGCAGCTGTTGTGATTAAGTGGTGATTGGTAACGGTTTGATCGCTACATGGAAACAGACAAATTTGCTTACCAAATAACCTTAACGAATAAATAAAAACTAATTTGATCATGTCTAGATGTTAGATGCAATTATCACATTTGTTTTACAATTGTGGGGGTTTCAATTCAAACTAATGATGTTTCTAAGTTGTTGTTTTTTCTGTTTGAACTTTTCTGTTTCATGTCAAAATCCCTGAATAGTAGCATAAATTTACAATGTAATCCAATGATTTCATTCTTTTTAAACTATTTAATCATGCTTCAGGTTGATTTTATAATAAAGTACCGGTATTTGAGTTTGCAGCATTGTCTTTGTTCAAAGACAAATTATTGTTTGCATGAATGTCGATAAGTTCAACGCTTTTTGATATTTTCCCAAATAAGGGAAATATTTTATTTTAAATATAATTAAATCAGAAAATAATGAGTAACATGAATCAAAAGCTGAATAAATAGTAGCAGGAAAGGTGAGATGGGGAGAAAAAAAATGAAGGTGAAGAAATATATATACATCTATATATCTACTGTATAAGAGCTGTGTGTTTTATTTTTGGTGAGATAAAAATTAATGTCTTGTAAAACCAAATATCATAAGAAACAGCATGAAACAAAATATATATATATATATAATTTTGAGAAAAATTACACAGGTTTTGTCAATAAATTGATTTTTTTCATGAACTGAATTAGGAAAAAAATCCTGGATGATATAAGATGCACCATTTTGGCTGAGGCGTGCTCAGTTCTCAAATCTCAAAAAAAAAAAAAAAAAAAAAAAAAAAAAGAGCATCAGAGAGCCTAAAAGAATGAGGCTGATTCTTTATTGGGGAACAAATATGTTAATTTGAGTGGGGTTTTCTGCTTTAGGCTTGACAGACTTTTCTCCTTCTGCCAGAAAGCAGATAA